AACCAGGTTTTTTTTGAAAACTAAGCACCTGCAAGCCACAGCCGAATGGCCAAAAAGGTGATCCCTCTAGACCCACACGACCCACACTTGATTTTTTGCAGATCTACAAGACCCACCCCCAGGTTATATGGTTGGGGGGTTCGATCCCCCCTTTAAAAAATGCTGAAAAACAGAAAACTCATTGGGGATCATCATCCCATGTCTATTGCTTGAACAAATTACAATATTTGAATCAATCAACCAGTTCTCAGTTGATTGAAATCTGGTTGGTTGAGAATGATTGAACATCTGCAATATTTTAAGGGAGACATTTCAAATTTCAAAACATTTCGCCTCCCGGCTTTTTGGACCTCGACACGTCGCCGAAATCCCCTTGGTGCCATTCCATCCGGAAGCCCAGCTCCCACTGAGTGCCCCAAACCGCTTCATCCAAACACCCCAACGCTGCCTCGAAGCGGCCTTGAAACGTCAAGGCCTGGCAGGAATGGCTACCCATCGCCCACCTTCTGTGGATCCATATGGAAGCCATAGCCCATTAGTTGTGATTTAACATATATATATATACGTATATATCATATTATATATAGCCTATATAGCTATTGAAAATGACCATTTATAAATTTATAGTTGATTTACCGAACTTGAAAATGCTGATTGTCCAGTTCGCTATCTTAAATTACCAGAGAGAAACTGTCAAGTCATTTGGTTCATTCTCGTGCATTCTCATTCATGATCAGATTCCGAGTTGGAATGCACATGTTTAACATGTTTAACCGCCCCCAGTTTCAGACATCGCTGGTCCGTACCACACAGGCCTCAAGCGGTGTTTCATGTTTTTTCCCTGCAAACCAAAACCAAACCACCTGCCCCTTGCATCTCGCCTGCGCTTTGGCACACAACAACTCACCGTGCAGCTCCGGATGTTGTGTCAAGGAAGTGACTCGCAGTAGTTTCAGCCCGCCCTGCGCCATCGGAACGATTTGGTGGCTCCAGATGTTGCGATCCAGCAGAATGGTGGCTGGTTGATGCATGTTGGCAGGGGCACAAAAAAAATCATGGAATGCCTGCTGTATCATTTCAGGCTGCTTTTCCATACCTTTCCATGGACCTTTCGTCGCCTCGGCCGCTTTGAGTGACTTCTCAAGGGCCTTGGAAGAACTGAGACAGGATGGTTTTTTCGACCATCTTCGAGGACTCAATCATTGATTTCTCCACCACGATTGAGTCCCCAAGTTTTTCTAGTTGATTCGCCATGTTTGCAGTGTCTTCCCATGGCGAAATTCATCCCATTGAGGATGGGTCAACACCTATGACATTAGCTTATGACTGGGGGGAATAACTTAACCATTCATTAACCACCCATTAACCATCCCACTCATTAACAACTCAGTAGCCATCCATTAACCACTCATTAAACATCCATTAACCATCCATTTTTGACCCATAACCATTTTTTGAGGCATCAACCCCCCTGCCTTTACTTGGCTACCCTGCTGTTCGAGCTTCCCTGGGAGCCGGTTCAGTGGACTGAACTTTGGCACCTGCAGCGTCCATTCCAATGGTTGCTTCGGTGAATAGCGTCCCAAGTTTTTAGGTCCATAAAATGTCATAAAATGTCATAAAATGTCAGAAAATCAATGACCAAAGCTGCTCTTTTTGGCCCAGTTTTTGGACGAGTTTCACTCTGTTTCACTCCCAAGATTTGCTCATCAAACAACCAGTTTGGCCAGTTCGGTCAACCGCCACCGTGCTCTCTGCACCGTCGCAACTTCCAACGGCCGGCCTTGTTGAACTGCATGGCGCACCGCATTTTCTGCCACGATGTAGAGGCAGCTGACCTGATATTGAGGGTCAATTGACCAACAAAACTCCAAGGGACTCCCCTCACCAGCCTTGATTCAACCACCAAGTTATAATATCGGTAAGTTAGTCATGTCATCACAAGGTGAAACACGTCCATACATTCAAACCATGCAAAATCCAGCAATACGAGAGGAAATCCCTTCGGAGCTACCCAATTCCGACAAAGTTTTTCTGGGATGAGCCCGCAGGACCCTGCTGTGGCAGCACCTCCTCTTCCTGTGCATCAAAGTCTCGAAACTTTTCGCGCGCCTAACGCCGAACTCCACTTGAAAATATCTGGGGAGATCGAGGATTTCAATAGCCACCGAGCAGCTAAAAAGAAGATGGGGAAAATAGATCACACATGATTCACATGATCACTTTGAGACTCGGAGCACGGATTTGTTGGGTTTGGTAATGTTTTATCCGTGCATTTTAGGTACCCCTATTTTGATCCACAGCCACATTACCTTCCAACCTGCTCGGCATGCCTTGCTGCGGCCTGCCAGCTGGACAGGGTTGGGTCCCTTTGGAGTCCCTTGGGACCATGACTTGCCCAACAGTGGACCGTGACTTTGCCCTATGGCCCACTGAAACAGGTATGATTGATGAAGACTTTGGGACTATCAGGTAGAAGGCCTTTGCCATCTGCCCAAGTCTGAAACTGTGCATTGTAAGCCTTAAACCCATGAACTCTGCGCCTGTAGCATCTTTTGGTAGCTTTCCGCAGGCCAACAAAAAGTCGTGGGGACCCACCCTCCATCGACATGTTTCCGCATGTTTCCTGCCTTGTATTCATGTTTCTTCCACAAGACTTGGCTGCAAAGTTTCATTGTCTCAGCCTCTTCCTTCCGTCTTTGAGCCTGGAAAGCGCCAGTGAAACACTGCTGGGGAATCATGAAAATGTCACAGCTAAACCACGGCAATGACGCATAAATGGTGTTTCACAGTTCTTCTTTCATACAATTTCATACACTTAAGATCACTCAAGATACATCAAACAAACATTGGGATAGATTCTTGAGCCATGCTGGACATCTTCCCAGGGCCCTTTCGTTCCGTTCCAAACGCGCCTTCCGAAAGATCTCCATGGCCTTTGAGGCCTGTTGCTGCGCTACATCAAAGAATTCCAACTTCAACCTGCGCGACGTTATTTCGATGGGAACAAAAAAAACAAACAGAAAAATGAGAAAATATACGTGTCCTTTGGGGAAAAACACACACACACATCTTCCTTAAGTAAAAACACAAATCATTGCAAAAAATGCAGAGATGGCAACAGCAGTTGCCTAAGTTCAACACATCTACTGCCATCAATGCTGCAATTGTTATTCTGGAGCTGTCATGGAACCATGTGATGCTCCCAAATTTGGCAGACTTTCCTGAAATGAAGACTCCGGAGAAATTGAATCCCCAATCCATTTCAACATCATCAACATCATGCCGGTGACGTGAGGTCTTGATCAAATGTATCCAGATATATTGTCTCTATCATACCACTAGGGAAATCTCCCCATTGTTGCTGGCGGTTCACCGCAACAAGTCACCATTTTGCTTTGGTTAAATCACAACATTTTGGTGGTTAAATGACCAGCCCAGATTCCGATGGTCGAAACCCGTGTGCCGAGCTCTCCGACTGGAGTTCTGCCAGCAGCTTCAAAGCTTTGGCCAAGCTAACAACCTCAACCAGACCGAGCCATGAAACATGGGGAAGATCTGATAGCTGCAGAATAGACACATCACCAATGGTAAAAAAAAATAATAAGATTTTTAATGTGTTCCCAACAAAACCCGTGACCCCAAAGAGATAATGGTCTGATAGGGTTTGCCTGTTCCATCAACCGTATCTATCAAGGTTTGGGACCTTGACAAAATCTGATCAAACACCTAAAAACGTTTGACTGGTTGACAAGGAGATACAAGGGGTCTCATATTGGTTGGGTACCCTAACCAACCTGCTAAATGCAGGTTTCAATGCTGGGAAAAATCATTGAACTCTGCGGGAGTTTTCAGCCATGGAGATGGGGTCACCAGAGGTTCCGGTGTCCCCAGTAACGCACGCATTGCCAGGTGCCAAGGAACATCTTGGGTTGACTCGAAGTGGTCTCGGAATTCTTCAACTAAAGTCACGGCTTCCTGGCAAAAAGTGGATGAAATTTGCATTTTTTTGGAGTCAATGAGTAATGTCTACTGTATCACCGTTTCCTGTCATGGATCAAGGATAGCCAAGGTAGAGGCCGCTTGAGACCGGTGTAAGCAGCAGGTTGAGATCACAACTGGAAAACGAATTCAAAAACATCATGGAATATCCCAATGATGTGCGCCTGGACTGATGTTGTTTCATTGTTTTCAATTGTTCCATCCCAGTCGGGTTTTGAGAAAACACCACATTTCTACCTATCTCGACCATTCCAACCAATCTGTTTATCCATTTGTTGATCCGTTGCTGAGAAGTTCAACCCAAAGTTTTTTCATGTTTTTATGTGGCCTCGAGGCCGCCCTCCCGAAGTTTGGCTTCATAGAGGATTTCCATGCTCTGCACCTGGAAATACGCCAGCACTGAGGTCTCTGTGCATTGCTTCTCGTACCCTTCACATGACTCGTCTCCGCGATGGCATGTTCGTTTGCTTCTAAATTACTCGTCCGTTCGGAACTTTTGGCCAATTACATTCCTCTCTTCAAACCTCAATTCCATTGTCGGTTGGTGATTTGTGTCTACATTTCAGTTTCTAGTTGCTTTCCCATTTCACTATCACTATATGGTTAAATGATGCTAAATCACGCGAAATCACTTTTTTTGCGGGTCAACTCCCAGCAGACCCGCTGCCAGAGCCTTCTCAGGGCTAGGCCCCTGGTCTTGCAACAACCTGTCAACATTTCAGGTGTCTCGCAAGTCGAATGGACTGGTTCCTTTGCACAGGTTGACTTTCCAACATCCTAAAATATCCAAATCACATCAAATCACCACATCTTCCACGTGCTTTCAAGATGTTTCAAGGGGATCCATTATGATCCATGATCCCAAAAGATGTCGGGTTCGACCGGTTCCATCCGAGCAGCTCCCAGGCGTCTCGGGCGACAACCATGGCCTGCACGGACGCCCCCCAAAAACTTACTGGATCTTACTGGGATAGATCCGGGACTTGGTTTATCTTGGCTTATTGGTCACTTACTGGATGTTTGTTGGGCTCTGACTTGTGGACTCTGAATTTTTTGGAAAGCCGGAGACCACGCAGTCTCCCCCCAGGAGCCTTGGAGAGGTCTCCGGCGTCCAGACGGCCACGACTGATCTTCAACATCAGCGAGGCCTGCGATGATTTCTGGCCCAACTCCTGGTCGCGGCAAGGTTCCACCAGAGCCAACCAAATCGACAAACTGCAGATCCAGCTGAGAAAAATCCATGGAGTGATGCCCTCTTCCTGCCACTGCCTCAAACAAGATCTGGAAACACACAAACCCAAGAAAAGTGAACCAAAAACACATCTTGCCACAGAAAAAAAATTGGTTAGCCTCTTTGCAAGCCCCTATGACTGTTGCCCAGCAGCGCCCCTTGCCACTCCTTGCACCATCTGATGCAGTCTTTGCTCACACTGATGGCCTCTGATAGGTTGCCGCCACGCAAGTGCACCTGCTATGAGGAAATCCCCTGAAGGACATGGGATTGGGTCAAAACCCTGGCGGGGGTCACCCCAAAATAACTCGCAAATAGCTATCTGGAAATGGATGTTCATCCACACAAAATATGGTACTGTAGGTCTTCGCCCCATACCCAAGGGGATGAAAATCTGACCGTGGTGACACTTTTTCACCAAAAAATTCGCAGTTATATGCCAGAAATGACCAAGGACAAGGGATATCCAACATATAGCAATGTCAAAAACCGAGAAATTGATTGCGTAATCCCAGTGTGTGAGTAGCTCATAACCCCCATCTCTGCGGCATATCCCCAATATCTAACTGGAAAATCTCTGCAGTAGCCCCTATTCTAATTGGGAAACCAATCTCCAAGCCTCGACCAACATCTTGGCAATGTCGATCTGCGCCGCCTTGTTGCCCTTGATACCTGGGAAAAAATGTCACACGAATCCGATCGGCTCTGGGACCAGTTTGGACACGAAGCAAAGATCATCAGATCACTAGTTCTTAAACCTAATATATATATAATGATATGTATATATATATATATACATTGATGATATGTATATATATATATGCAAACTTTTCCTGGGCAAGAAACACCTCGGAATCCATGCAACATTTATTGCATGCCATCCATGCCATTGCATGGAAAACGCAAAACGGTTTGTTTGGGTTTGAAACGGTTTGTCACACTGTTAAGAACAGATACTACACAGCTGCATGTGTACATCTATACTATATACGTGGGTTGCTACATGCTTTACATGTAATCACCCCGCCTTCACACCCTAAAGGCTGTTTCAAGCCGTGGAGTGTGAAAATTCCTACAATGTTTCCACCGTTTTCATCTCCATGAGGACATCATCCATGTCCCTACGCTAAGTGCCATGGAGAAATTGGAATTTGAAGCAACAAAATGGTAACCAAACACCAAAGTTGCAAACGTGTGAAACTTCCGGCATTCACAGCTCTCAGTCGCTGCTGGTGAAAATTGCAAATCTGAAAATGCCACCATGGTGATCGCGTTAGCACCATGCGTAGCCACTACCATGGAGATCACGTTAACTCCATGCGTAGTCGCATTTCTCTCAGTTTTCTCCATCCATTCTTCCAGGGTCATTCAGTCCTTGCATGTATCTGGAAACTGGGTTGTCAGCTCCACTGATCATTGAATCTGCGATTGCGTCCGTCACAACGCTGCCAGCGCTAGGTGCGCCAGTTGATGGCGATGCTGTTGCTGATGCCATAGTTGCTACCAAGCTTGCCCCAACCTGAATCGCCTGATGCGCCTGTCTGAGCTCTGTCTCTACTCCGTAGGCTCCAATCCCATGGATCGGTGAATCCTCGTCACTGCTGAGATCACCGAGGTTCCCTATAACCTCCATATATATCTGCTGTTGTTCCATGGTGGTATATGTCAGGCAGTCTTTGAGAAGGTCGGACAAAGCCTGTAGACGGCCAGCAACATAGCTAGGAGCGTAGAAACCACGCGCAACTCTGCGCTCGATTCTTTCTGTGAACCAAACAATCACAGCTGCAGGACTGTGAGGAATCCTGGAGTTCTCGATGGGGTATCTAACCTTCAGTTTTCGGTTTTCTTCAACTTCTTCTTCATCTTCTTCCATTGGATCGTCTTCTTCAACCAGCAATGGTTCAGCTGCAGGAAGTGGAACGTTGTGATGAAATTCCATCCACATATCTGGATCGTCCACTTCGCTGATGTCGAGATCGCCGTACTCGGCCCGCATCAGTCTGACCCGTCTGTTATGATAACAAACGTAGATCCATCTTGCTACGGCCAAGGTGGTGAAGAAGAGAATGATCATCATCAGTCCTCTCCATGTTGTACCTTCTGAACCTTCATCTTGAAGAGCTATGCCAGCAGTCTCACACTGATCATCCGCAGCCATCACCAAAGGACTCAAGGTGTTTCCACCACTTACCAATAGGTTACAAAGTACTGCGAATAAGTGTGATTTCTTCAGCTGCTTGACTTGAAAAACTCTCTCAATGGTTTCCTCTCCGACTCTCTTTCCAGTTGTTGGATTGTAAACTCCTAGATGGAAAAGAAGAGGTTTCAAAACTTTCAAGCCTAAACGCTTCGTGCCAACATCTGCAACATTCTTTGCAGACTCAATACCCTTGACTGAAACCAAACCATCTCGAACACGAGTTTGAAGCCAAAGTAGCTTTACTGAAAGATGTCTGATGCGTCCCACGCCTTGTCGCTGTAGGATCTGCCTGGCTGCACTGTTGTCGATGTACAGCACCGTACGCATCGATTCACCTGACAGAAATTCCAAGCACATGGAAATGAGAATGGAATCACAAGTTGAGGATACTGCTGCATGAAGCTCTGCTTCTGCACTGCTCAAACTGATCACCTTCTGGGTCCTGCTTGCTGAGTAAATCAAACATCCACGATGAAAAATGGCAACTGAAGAAACGGACTTGCGATTGCCCTTGTGTGCGGCCCAATCGCTATCTGAATATACCTCAAGAACATTGCCATCATGATCGTGGTAAAGACCTGAACCTCTCGCCTTCATCTTCAAACTGATACCATGTTCAACACAACCAAGCATGTAAAGACAAAGGTGTCTGAGCACTGCATACGATCGCTCTGTCGGAGATTTCATGCACTGTGCCAGATATCTGATGACAAACTGGCACTCCACCAAATCTGCACTCAAATAAAGCAAAACACCAACGCATGTTCTGAAAACACTCGAAAACTCGGCGTTCAACGCTGATGTCTCATCGGGCTCATTGATCTCTGGATGTGCAGGAGTTTTCTTCGGGTGCATGTTCGGCTTGATTTTCAACATCTCAAACAACTTGCTTGCATGTTTCACATGTGGCTGAATAAAAGTTCATCTTTTGAAAGTAAAACATGACGTCGCTTGAGGAAACTGAGTTCTGTGCCTACCTTGTCCACCATCTCATGGCTCACTTGATACCGGCTTTTGAAAGCTGGTAGCACCACATCCAAAAGGTATGACCTATCACCAGTGAAAAGCATGTCATCCACATGTATGATCACAAGGCACTTGTCATTGCGCAAAAGTGAAGGATACGGTCCAAATGGTGTGATGCCAAACTCAGTCTTAAGGAAACCTGCAAGGTCGCGATGCCACAGCAATGAACCATCTCGTTGTCCTGGTAGCACCTTACCAAGGATGAATCTATGCTGCACTCCGGCTGCATCAACTGCTGTGACAACTGTGGGTCGTTCCTGGTTCACGGTCAGGAATGCATCGGAAACGTCTAGTGACATCATAGCCCAATCCTTGTCAGCATTTGCCAAAAACATCAATGGGACCAAACGTGTTGTAACATTGCTACTAGCTGGACTATAAAGGTCAGCACGGTCTGGACTCAACCAAGAAAATTCACGAGCCACAAACCTGGAGCGGCGTAAGTAGTACTGCACGCCTGTGGTTTCATCACGTTTGCTCCTCCATGTCCTGACAAATCTGGTTGAAAGTTCAACATGATCACTGAAGTCCACGTTCGATGAATCCAGTAAAACACCCATTGCAGCGAGACGAGAAAGCTCTACCTTGTCGGCTATCTGGTCCAATCGTCCCAGCTCCTCGGGGCTGAGATCAGGTTCTTCCTCTGTGTGAGGATACTTCAACTGCTCAATCGCTGCTGATGTGTCCAAACTCATGGAATGGTTTTGGTCTCCTGGTTCATCCACATCAAGGCTTTGGAATGCCTCGTCATACTCCTCCAAGCCGTCCAACTCTGCATCCTGAAAGTAGGTGGGATTGTGTGCATCCTCATGAGTATACTCTGTGCCATCGATCACACAACGCACATGAGAAACTTGGGTGAGCTTTGCAGTCTTTGTTGGCCTCTCTGAAAGTTCACCTTCAGCTCGACGTGGGGCACGGGCTTGCCCCGCCTGCGCAAGATCTGCTAAGGCTGTATCATCAGGAATGCTCATTGGAGCTGGCATCATTGGTATATCACCTGCTGCAATGCTGGAAGCACCTCCAATTGGATTGAAAGGTGTGCCTGGTGCAGTCGCCACAAATGGCGTCACTGGGTCTGCTGCTGCCTCATCAGGAGTCAGCAAGTCTTTGCTGCGCGGTCCAAAAACAGTCTCAGGCTCAAAAGTTGATTCTGGGGGCTCATACATCAAAGCACCTTCAGGAAATGAAATCGGCTCTACACGTGGCGGCATCAAACGCTTTGCCAAAACAAGCTTGGAACCAAGGGCTGCATAGCCATATTCCCATGGGCAATTTTCCACATCGCCTGCAAGCTTGAGATTCCAGCAATTGGAGAACCTTCGAATTGACCTGGTCACAAAAACACCTTGTGCTGTGCCAATCATATGAGTATCATTTGTTGGGGATTTACCAAGCCATATGCCTTTGATCCACCTGGGATTCGACTTGGCCTCACTCTTCAAGTATCCCATCACGCATTCACCAAACTTCGCAAGTTTGCCTGTATACTGACGATCAAAGGTTTTCTCAAACGCTGTGAACCCGTTAGAAATCATAAACCTGTTGTGTAACCATGATGCATGAAGCATGGACCAAGCAAACATCGGGTGATGTGAACCAAATAGAAATTCCTCAGAACCTCCACCAATTTCCAGCTGCCTCAAAAGCAAAGCGGCTTGTTGCCTGATCACTTGCACAGTAACTTCAGCTGCTCCATTTGCTTGATGGTCGTGCGGCGCTGGAGTCTCCACACTGGTATGCACGTTAACTGCTCTCAGGGCCTTGCGCACTGTATCCAAGAGTGCTAAGGTCGAAGGCTCGTTGTCACATCTCAAAGTCACGGGGTTGTGGCCTGTTGCAACCACAAATCGTGCGAGTTCTGTGCCAAGATAAGGCATGTATTTCCCGCCTTTGGCTGGTGTTGGAATCCCAATCATTGCACCTGTGAACCTGTCATGGGCAAACAACACTGTGAGTTTATCTTCATCACCTTTACGTGAAGCATACCCAAAGTCAAATGAAACAACGCTGTTGGAGGAAGTTGCATGATCTCTTGGAGGATGTCTGTCTTGACGAGCTTTGAATGAAACACAAAGAGGACACCAATCTTTGTATGGAATGTGCACCAAGTCATGGATGTCTTTCTCAGCCTGTGATGGCTCTGGGGGCACACGCTGTTGCTCTGGTGTTCTCTCTGCATCCACCTGCAAACGTTGACCAACTGCTTCAGCATCAATGAGTTCACGTTCTCTAACATGACGCAAGATACGCTGCAAACATTGTGCTCTGTTGCCTGTCTGGGTCAATCCAAGAAAATTGCATGCTGCTCTCAAAGCTCTCAACGACGAAGTCTCGTTCAGCAAGACACCATCCACAAAGACCTCATTGGTTTCTAATGGTACTACACGTTCTTCAGGTGGCCGTTCAGCTCTCGCATCTGCTGGGGCTGCAGCTTCTGCTGCATCTGCAATGCCAAAGTCTCCTGAACCTCTGGCAGGTTCAGATTGGATTGCATGAGGGGCTTCAAGCCTAAAACCCAATGCCTCTGGTGACATCACATTGGTATGGCCCAAAGTCAAAATGGCTTCTGCCTGAACATCGGTATCAAACCATTTGCATCGATCTTCCATGGTTGAAATCTGCTCACTGAGTTCCACAAGTTCCCAACTGCCGTTCACCTTCAACAAGGTTGTGCGCCTCCACATCAACTGATCTGCAGGGATGAGTGTTGTGTCAACAAATCGACCACCATAGCTAAGCATGGCCCAAAGCTCAGGACCAATCTTCTCCCAACGCCTGCCAACATTCTGCAGACGCTCTGTCAAGATCACTGCACGCAAGACATTGACATCTTGCAGATCTCCATCACTGCCAGATACCTGCCTGTTGTCAGGGCGCTCACATGATGTGGCATCTTTCGAAACCTGAGGATTCAAACCAGTTGCAGAAACGTTCAAACCAGTTGCAAATGACTTCAAATCTGTTGTATGAGGCTTCAACTCTGTTGTATGGGACTCCAATTCTGTTGTATGAGACTCCAATTCAGTTGCAGAAGACTTCAACTCTGTTGCAGAAGATTTCAACCCTGTTGTATGGGACTTCAACCCTGTTGTTTGAGACTCAGAAATAACACGTATGAAACCCTTGGCAACAAGTGAATTACGTCTGAAACCAATGTCAATCTTCTCACTGCCTTTCACAAGACAAAATGAACCGTCGTTGCAAATAGACCATCCAGCTCTGAAGAACCGACCCAAGCTGAGCAGGGGCGTGGTGACGTTCCCAATCAGGAACTTTTCCTTGAAACGCACTCCACTCATTGTGATCTCTGCCAATCGAATGTCATGGATCTTAATTGGAGCACCTTGTGCATCAACATACGAAGATTCTGCTGTGAAAGAACTGATGTGCCAACATGTGCATAACTCATTGGAAGGACACTTCCATCAGCACCTGAATCCAAAATGATGTCCACTGGGTCGCCTGCAAAATGAAACGCTCGCACTGAATAAACGTCCAAATCACAGTCAAAATCATGGTCAAAATAAGGTTCAAGTTGTTGACATGTAGATGGTTGAAAAGTTGTTGAATAAGGGTTTGTTGTCAAATCCATGCACATGATGTCAAAAGGTTCAACTGTCCAATCTTCGTCTGAATCCATGTCATCCATGCGAAAAACTGCAGCGGCCGGCATGCATGCACTCGAAAACAGCGCTCGGTCATCCAAATGTGAAACAACATGAATACCAGAGAGTGAAATTCCATCGCAGTCATCATCAAACGCAGTAAGATCGTGAAGTGGAGACTTGTCAACCTCCTCAATGGTCACACTGCTACGCTGGAAAACATTCACTGAGCTCTGCTGCTTGGAGTTGTTCACATAGGTCGTTGAGCTGCTAGCTGCAGGGGTCTGAGAGTTGCTGTCCTCTTCAACAACACGCACCTTTCCATGGCCCTTGTCGCGCTTGTACTTATGGCAGTCGCGTTTCCAATGGCCAATCTTGCCACAGTAGCTGCAAACATCTTCTGAAACACGTGAACTGGTTCCTTTACCTTTCGAATTCTTGCCATCCCCTTTAGATCCTTTGGATTGGGGAAAACTGTATTTACCCTTGCCTTTTCCTTTGGATTTCCCTTTGGAATCAAACTTACTTTTGGACTTACCCTTGCCTTTCCTCCATTGAACTTGATCGATCTCCATGGGTGCAGGTCCACCTGAATTGCCAGGTTTGTCACTGATGCCAAGCTGTGTGTGGATCTGGTTGGACGTCCACGTTGAAGAAATGGCCTCATAGGACAGGACCTGTGCACGCACGCTTGCATAGGTTGATGCATCACTCATCGAAAGCCTGATATGCTGCTGAACTGTCTTCGGCAGACATTTCACTAAAACACTCAAAGCAAGATCATCTGCAACATCTTGTCCACTAGATTTCCTGTACTCTTCTCGCAAGCGCTCAAGTCCTTGAATCTGCTCCAGGAACGTTCTACCAGAAACGAATGCAGGAAGGCTCATAAATGCAGAAAGAAGGGAAACTGCTCTGGATTTTGTATGAGGTGAATACAACTGCATCAACTGTCGGTAAACTTCAAAACCATTGCGTTCAGAAACCTGTCGAAGAATTCTGAGGGGTTTGTGTTTAAGAAGTCCACTCAAAATCGAGTACAGTTTGTTTGACTTCACCTGCACGTCTGCTGCGACTCCAATCAAATTGACTACAGTCTTGGGTTCCTTCTCAACTGCATCTAAACACTTCTCATAGTTCGGATCTGCAAAATACAACCAACTCTTCAAGTTCAAAACGAAGTCGGGCCAAATTGCAAGTTCCTGATCAAATGCATCTGCGCCAGAACTGCCAAAAGGGTCTGGCTGTCGAACAACCTTCGAGGCTTCTGTAAAACCACCAGATCTGCCACTCTGACCATCACTCATCCTTTTCATCTCCTCAGCTGCCCTGCTGGCAGCATCTGCAGCACGGGCTGCAGCTTCAATCAAACCTTGAATCTGTTCGGCGCTCAATTGCGCCATTGCCACACCGGTTGTATCCCAGTTGCAAGTGCACCAGAAAAACCAGAAAGCAACCTGTAAAATGTCAGTCAGGGGTCCAGCGGTAAGCGAAGGAAATTGCTATGGCTCTCCCAAAGGTCCAAACTAAGCTAGGGCACTACGAACCCTTCTACGAGCCCTCACTGGGGGTTTCCCAGATCACTGGGCTCCGCTACCATGCAAACTGTTCCTGGGCAAGAAACACCTCGGAATCCATGCAACATTTATTGCATGCCATCCATGCCATTGCATGGAAAACGCAAAACGGTTTGTTTTGGTTTGAAACGGTTTGTCACACTGTTAAGAACAGATACTACACAGCTGCATGTGTACATCTATACTATATACGTGGGTTGCTACATGCTTTACATGTAATCAATATATAATGATATGTATATATATATATAATGATATGTATATATATATATGTACAATGATATGTATATATATATAATGATATGTATATATATATATATAATGATATGTATATATATATAATGATATGTATATATATATATTATGATATGTAAATATATATAATGATATGTATATATGTATAATGATATGTATATATATATATATAGTGATATGTATATATATAATGATATGTATATATATATATAATGATATGTATATATATAAAATGATATGTATATATATATATTCATCAGTTTGGCAATACATCCATCTGGCTGAATAAAAATGTCACAATCCACCAGGCTGAACAGTATGTGGGTCATTTCGGGATAATTACCTAAATCCAACTGTAACTATCATTCATGGTAACCTGGTAGTAAAGTCGCTGATCGCAATTCAGCCAGATCCATTTGGATTATGTGAACTGTTTACCAAAAATATTGCGCAACCAAGCTATAAGAGGATAAGCCCCATCCAATTAACCCAGCTGGAATCTTTCCTGATTTTTTAACCGACAAAAAAAACACATATCAGATTTAGCGTCCATTTTCCTGTGTAAAACCCAACCAGAATCAGCCGATCATTTTCCCAACGGCTTTGCCCGTGGGTGTTCCACATCTTTTGTTTAAGTCGACCCAAAGTGGGCTGTCCTAGATAGCTCAGTTCACTTAGAACTTGGCCCAGCTTACAGGGCTATTTTTCATTAACCATCAATGAGCATCAACGACCATTATTGTTAACCATTATTAACCATCATATAACCATAAAATAACCGTCACATAGAAATCATATAACCATCATTACCATTCTTACTATCATTATCATGATCAGTAATTTCACCATCATTATCAGTATCGCTATCATTATTACTATTAACATTTATGAGCCATCATAGAATATCATATAATGGTCATATAGGATGTTATTAACCATATTAAACATCATATAACCCTCGTATTGTCATTTAACCTTATTTAACCATCATATCGATGTTTCCCATGTTTTCCTGCACTTTTTCGCCCAGGCGCCAAAGCGCTCCAGGGCCTCTGAGGCCTTCTGTCGCGCCTCTCGCACTTCCGCCAGCTGCAGCAGCGGGTGCAGCAGCAGATGCAGGGCACGGAGCTCCTGGGGCTGTGGCCATGGGGGAGAAATAGGGAAACATAGGGAATTTCTATAGATTTCACACGTAAGCATAGGGGGGTTATAATGATTCTGTGTACCGTATAGGTGATGTGTATATATATATATTTGTATTTATTTATATATATTTGTATATAATTGTATATATAGTTATTTGTATATATACAGTAATATCAATCTTTGGTGAGGCTGACTTTTGGTTGTCCATTGGGGTGAAACTTCTTTGCAGGTGAGTTTGAAGCTTTGAACTGGATGACAACTGGATACTTCAAATCCCATGATAAAGGAAGAAATTACTCCCGAATAATGGCAACTGTAGTGGCGAAAATGGTGACACGCATTGATGTTTGTGATGGTTTTTACCCCACCGTAGGATACTATTGGATGGTTCTAGGTGGATTTTTAGCCACAAAAAATGGTGGAAAAACAAAGAAACACTTGGCAAGTGTTCAGGGCTTGCGGGAGCTGTTCTTGTTTGCTTCTTTGATGATCCACGAAAGTCTAGGTCCAAGAATCTCAACGTAGCATGGAAACATGATGAAACATTGAAAGCAATCCTTGCAATCCTTTGACTGGATGAATAGCGATCTGTTTCGAAAAAAAATCCAAACTCCGTCCGCCAGGGCCTGGAACATACAGGGCTCCTGGGGTGAATCCAACTCCCGGTAGATCTCCAGAGCATCCTCTGCGTCCGAGATCGCTCTCGAGAAGTCTGCGAGTCGTACGTTCCACTCCTGGGCTGAAGGACCTGTTGGACTAGGATTCCACGCTCAAAACAGAAACAAATTCTATGTTAAAAGGTGGATAAACAAGTGGATACCCCATCCCGTCCTATGCCACATCCTCATTTTCTCCATTCGAATTGGCATGGTTGTCTAAAACAAAATCTGCATATCGCCCACCACTTAAACCGCCAAATTTTTGCGCATATATCTGCTGGGATCAGTATATGCTCCGGAGGCGGTGGTGCTGACTTTACGACAAAGGCCTCTATGTTTCAATTTCGTGGGTTTGAACATCTCTTGAACATGGCTGGTTCCACGCTGGATTGATGTTTGTGAAGGAACTGCAAGGAACCATGTTGCGCCGAGTGATTGCCGCCAAACGACTGACATTTTGCAGAGGACATAGGCTTCCATAGCCCTGTCCTGCCATTGAACCACGGAGCCGCAATCCCCAAACTGTTCGCTCCCAGATCTCTCCAGCTCAAAGCCAGCGGATCATAGATCTACATCACCATTTTGAAAGGAGCAACCACAAAGGCATAAATGATTATCAGCATCAAAATATCAGGAATATTCAGGAATACTATAGCAAAAATACACCCAGAATGTGTTTGTTCCCCATCTTTTTGGGGGAAAGCCAGTCCTCGATTTCCAGCGACATCTCCAAGGCCTCATCCGCCGCATTCAGGGCATCATCTGGGGATGCCAACCAGCCCTCGCAGTCGATCATGGACACCAAACACATGGCCTCAGTGGTTGAGCCGGAGGAAGGGATGAGGCCCTTGTTGCTGCACTGAAAATGATTAAAAAAAATGTGGCCATCTGATTGCACCTCCTCCAAGTCATGGCCTCTAGAAATAGAATCTCAATGAGTGGGCTACATAAGCTACTGTACATTCTGAGTTGCTATCATTACAACATAGAACAGCATCTCAGAAAAATACTGATCACGGTATCATTTACGACTCATCTCAGCATGTGTCCATCTTCAACCCGAAAGAACTGGACCTCCAATCTGCGATCTCGCAACTCGAGCGACAATCGGCGGGCCTGGCGGCTGGACAAGGGATCGCCCAGGTGCGTTGCTGCTTTTGTTGAACGACTTTTGATGAATTGACCCTCTGGTAATCCAGCATGGTTATGGTTTGCTGGAAAATCCACCAGCAAACAGTCATTGACAGTTGATTTTCCAGCTACAATTTCACCTCCAGTGCCCTGATTTTCCAGCCATGTTTGACACCGGTACCCTAAACCCATGCTGGGACACTGGAAATCACCAAATCAGCCAGACCTCTTTGACATTCTGAAGGCCTTCCTCAAGGCTCACCAGGTCCATTTCGCCCCTGAGATGCTAAGATGGCTGGCATGAGGATATTGGGTTCCCACAATGGGAGGTCACCCCAACTTGCCCAAAACCCAATGAAACCACCAGGAATCTGCTGGGTCCAATGGTAAAACTGGGCAGAGCAGCCACTTCAACATGTGGAGGGGTGGTTGCCAAGTGTGGTCAAGTTTGGTTGCAAGAACAGCCCAACAGATTGACCCATACTGGAAAACAATTCGGGTTTAACCATGTTTAACCAACAAACAAATGCGAGTTCCGACATTTAAAAATATGGATTGATGCATAGTCTCACGAGTTAACACTGGATTGAGCTGCACCATCCTAAATTTCTCGCATTCCTTGCATCCTCCAGGCAATGTCAAGCCTTTCCATGCGAAGCGCCACGATGGCCAGAAGAGTCTTTGCCTCAGACTTACCATCACTCGGTGTAAGAACCTCCAATTACTCAGTTGGTGATGTGACCTTGACAACAAACTCCAACTGGATCCAAATGGCACATGGCATTGCGCAGGATGCCCACCCATTTTTGGTATAGGGATGGGTTTATAGTTTACCATTAATTTACCCTCAGTTTACCATTCATAGTTGGTTCACCCCCGCCATGAAAATCCGCGGCTGGGGCTCCAAAACTTCCATGTCCTTCGCGCCGGAGGCGGCAAAAGCCTTCCTTGCCTCCTCCGCCTTCTCCAGTCGGCCCTGCTCAGCACCCAAGGCCTGCAATGGATCCATCAACTTGCAGCGGGTGCCGAAATTCTTTCGCAACCGGCGCACCTGCAGCACTTTTGATTTGGCTCCTTCAGCCTGGCTGCCAAAAAAGGTTTGTCCCTCAACCAGCTGGTATGTTTTCTATTAAACAATTGACATGACATGGCAAAACATGATCAATTTTTGGCTAAATGATAGTGGATGTTGATTGGTGTTGAACATTTCATCCCCATCGCCGTCTTCTAATTTGTTCACATCTATATACAGTATTCCATTATCTTGGGATATATCATGATAAATATTTTATCACATCCATTTCATATCCATTTCAAAGATTTGATCTTTGTGTCAGTCCAAACCACTGAAATCCAAAGGAAGACCCAAGGAACAGCTCTGGCCCCACCACCCAGCTTCCCAGCTACCAGCCTGATACCTCTCACTAAGGAAATCAGACCAAAGACCACGGACCTGTTGGTGGAGATTGCGATTGAGGCGCCAAAGGGGTTGCGGGCTTGACATCCTTGACTTGAAGTACAAATCTGAATCAAAAGATGTCATGCTTGTAGAATCCATGTATCAACCCCAGGGCCGCCTCAGCTGTGTAAGACATGGCGATCGCCGATCGACGTGGCGGTTTTTGTCAAAGCATGCTGAGGAAGGTCAACACGAATCACGGTTAAACATGGGAGAAAGGTCTGATTCGATTTGAACCTACATTATGTATGTATATATATATGGTGTAATCTATATATATATTTATCCAGAATAAATCCATCCTATTGATTCAACTAGTGCAACTACTAAGTCCTGAGCAATTTAAGGATGGCCCCCTGAGCAATTCTTCAAGATTGCCCCAAAGATCCCAAAGGTCGCCATGCACGCCATGTGCTATACATGGTGGATGTGGGTACCACATGACTTAAAGAAGTTGGAGCGACAAAAAGGGATATTGATAGTGCTGATATTGCCACCAGCCCACAAGTTGCTCGCATGACCAGATTGAAACTCTTCCTGCTCAGCTGTCTTTGACGCATCTTCACATGGCTCCAACTTATTTGAACTGTGATGGCTTGCAACAACTCCACGTGATGCAACTCTTCTGCGCACCACATGGACGGACAGCGGAGCAAGATTTGAATCTATCAACTTTACTATTTCGCTAACAAAGTCGTGTTATGTCGTGTTAAATCATGTTGATCATGTTTGTTCCCCCAAACCAACAAAACATGTCGTCCATCCCTCAAAGGACATCCGCTACCTCCAGTGCGTAAAAGGCTGAATCGCGCACGTGCTCGTCCTCGTCTTCCATCCTCCATCTGCTCAGCCGTGAAGGGCTACTTGGGAGGGATGGGGATGGGATGAGAAGTCTATTTTTGCGATTTGTGTGATGAATCCATCCCCTGCCCTCAATACTCAACTTCCCTGAAGACGTCACGGCACCAAAAAAGCAGAACATTGAGATGATAAAAAAAACAGTTGTAGAAACACATCCAGAAAAGACCATGTATCATAGTCATGGCGGCCACCGGTGAAGTGTCCTCTCTTCGACTTTCTTGACGATGTCCTCATCAGCGCTGTCACAATCAAATGGATTTGTCTGAAAATAGGTTACCCCAAACTTTGATGGTTCGTCACCATTTTCCCGGGCATTTCCAGACATACTAGTTCTTTTCTATGCTGCTTCTGTTGCATTGTGAACTCATAGCGGTGTCTCCTCCATGTCTTGCGTGGCAATCTTTTCCAGCAGCTGGACACAGGCCTTTCAACAAAGCAGTTGAGTCAACAATCCCTCGAGGATGGGATGGTACGGAAGCCCATAGGGGAAGATTGAGGTGTCTAGGCAGTTGGAAAGGTCACCCAAATGGCAAAAGAAACTTGAAAAAGTGGGGAAAATTTTGTCGAACACCAGAAAGTCCGGGGCTTTTTTTTGTGGTGATTTTGATGATCCTCGGACCATTTCCAAAGCCCCAAAATCCAAGTTCCTGATGCTTCCAGTGGCCAAACCATGAAACCTCTGTTGGAATGAGGATTCTCTAGGCAGTCGTAAAATTGGAGGGCAAATTCCATTGAAAACCAAAGTTTTGGCATCGGAAAGTCACTGCAAACAATGCAAAGCCAACAACAATGCTTGACCAATCCTAGAATGCCATCATATGCCATCCAGCCCTCTGCAGCTACTTCAAAACCTTTTTAACTGATGGGCAAATGATCGATGCAACGCATGGCATCGTAGATATCATTTGTCCAGGTCGACCAAGGACTGCGTTTCATCAGCAAGGCGTAAAACCTGGACCGTGCTGCGACACCAGTCTTTATAGACATACAAGCATCACTGGGAATGCCGCACAAACAGACCAGCGGTAAAATAGAGAACCACGGAACAATCCAATCTATCCAATATCCAACTCAGAATCTGAGTAGGCATTAGAGATGCATGCAGATTCTTCGTTTTCGACTTTGCAAGAAAAGAACTCTTCCCAAAAAATCCAAGCAGTACCCCAATCTGAGACAACTGGCTGGCAACCCACCCAGCTGAAGAGCCAAGAAACCATTCTACGACTTTGGACAGATGTTTCTCCGTCTTTTCCTTGGCCACAGCTCGTCATGGCTCGTCACTCCCCCCAAGGACTTTGTCTCAAATGTGGCAAAGATCCCTATTTGTACCGCAATTGCCTCCAGAAACACCCTTTTTTTGAAACTGCACAAGAGACGAAAGATTTTGGGGCCCAAGGAACTTCGAGAAAAAAACCAATCTGATGATTTCCAAGGCTCCACGTCATCTCCATCATGATGCCGGAAGAAATCCTCCTGGAAAGCTGCAGGAACTGTCTCCAGAAAATTCAAAGACATGAGACTTTGGTGAAGCATGCGGCAGTCTCCATTGTGCTTGCGCACCTAAATTTCAAGATCTGATCCCCCAACATATCCATTTCCACTCCGATTGCCATCCTCCAGGCCCCGTATTTCTGTATTTCTGGGGATGTTGCTATAAACCATGTCGCCAGCCATATAACCAACCATTGGACTTTTTACGCCACAATAAACCATGGAGTTTTGAGCCATAAATCGCTTCCACGGTTTATGGTGGTAACCTATAAGTATCCATAATAAACCATCCTTTCCATACGATTATCATCTACAGGATTATGATCCATAGGATTATAAACTATTATATATACCCTCTGGTAATTTAACATAGCTATGGAAAATCACCATTTTCAATGGGTAAACCCACTATAAATGGCAATTTTCAATAGCTATGTTAGTCATTACCAAGGGGTAATAGGCCATCATCAGCACCATCAGTCCTGAACGATGCAACGAAGCAAGTCTTTGGCCTCGTCGTCGTTCTTGGCGCGCCTGGTTTGGTAAGTGCCAACGTGACGTGGCACGGGTGGAGCATCGCAGCGAGTGTTTTAATCTATTGATCTCATTGGTGATGGATTTTTCAATGTGTGATTTTATAGAAATTGGATGCGGTTGAGGTTAATGAACACCATGTTGGCGTTCTTGAAATGCTTTGGACTCTGGCCCAAACAAAACTTGATTTTAAATGTGCATCTTTTTATGGGGATGGCTAACATGGATATCCTGATATCCACCATTTTGAGAAACACCTTCAAATGAAAAATTCTTAATAACTGCCTGGGGCTATCTCAATGCGCTACTGGGCTGTAATCATGTCTCTTACCGTAGGTCAGGACACGGTCGCGTTCTGTCGAAACTCTTGGAGACATTCCAAATTTCAGCTCATTTGCTGCTTGAACTGAATGAATTAGAAAACAACTTCCTCAACATTTCTCAAACCGGTCCCAGATCCCTAGGCCTTAGGCTTCCCTAGGCTCCGCGGCGCCCCGGCCTCACTTTGCTAATGAGCTCGGTCACAAAGTGCGTTCCACGACCTGGCTATCACGATGATGATCATCGTTTATTTCATCGATGATGATGAAATTTTAATGATATAATACGGTATAATACGATTATATATCCTATATATGATATATGATGATGATAAAATATATATATATGATTAATATTGATTAATTAATACCCATTAATACATTTGAAAAACAAACACAAACATTGCTAAATCGTAAATATCTGCATTAACAACATGATGTTGATAAAAACATTCCTTATGAATATTTCTGTTGATCAACTTCCTCAGAATTTTCCATCTTCATGTGCCTCACCATTCTTCCCCCAGCGCTGTTCCGCCTTTGCCGCAGATCAGATGTTGCACCACCACTGGCAAAACCAGCGAGAGATCCACGTCCAAGGCTGGCTTGAAGAGATCCTGGGCCGTTAAAGGAGACTCCGCTGGTGGTGAAACATGTGAAACACGGCAGCAGTTGAACATGAACATGGAATACATGGATTGTATATGATTGTATTATATATGATTGTTTTCAGTTCCTAAAACCTCATGTGGCTCCATTCATGGTGCCAACAACGCTCAAGTTTGCGGTGCCTCCTCACCACTTCCTTGGATGTATTCCGAGGGGTACCTGGACAGGCATGACGGGCAGCCCTGGGAGCATCCTGTGATGCAAACTGCGCAAACTGTGCAGAAAAACAGAAAAAAAACTCGGATTTGATGTCCAGCTGAGTGGCTGAATGGATCCCTTGCTGTTCCCATCGATGTCGATCAGCCGCGCTTTTCGGCAGTCCCTGGAGATCAGCACGTTGTTCATGTGGTTGAAATCAAAGGCCTGACGATACCATGGCAAAGCAACATTGGTTGTTGTGATCACACCATGTGCATGGTGGAAAACAGAATCCGCAGAATCTGTTGGAAGAATTAAAAAACGAACATTTCGAATTTCGCAACATTTTCGCACCTGCACCCCCATCAGGGTCAGATCGCGAAAACCATTCAAAAGACTCACCTCGGCTGACTCACAGGTCATCACAGGCCTCTTAAATTGGTGACAAATAGCGGAAATCGCGAGCCCGACATATCTGACATGGTGGGTTGGTGGATTGGTGGATGCTGCCCAGGATCCAACAAGACTTTCACCTTAATCAAAGAGAACTTGGACTGCAGATCTTTGATGCGCCAGTGCTCCTCAGGAAAATCTCCACACCACAGCTGGATGTCAAGAAATTCAAGTGAAGTCTGGATCCATCGATTTTTTCACGGGCAAGAGATGGCAAGAGTAACCCTTCAGTTTTTGTTCAAAATCACCATCCCTTTTCCCGCAAATCCCACTCTGCCTGGGGACTCAGGTTTCCATGTGCAAGGACCTGCGGCAAACTGGCCCGCTGCTCCATATTCACTCCATTACGCGTCTTGGTCTTGGGGGCGACAAGGGGCCGATGATTTTTGTTTGACCATGTTCGAGCTACCCAGCCCTCGGCTACTCACGAAAAAATGCCGAATAATGCAATTTTCGAAGCCAAACAGGGCCTTGGTATAGTCGTCCATGAACTGTTTCAATGTGTAGGACGAGAAGTCTTCCTGATACTGCGAGAGCAGTGTCACCTTCCAGCCACAGCAGTGAGACTAATAAATGGATTTCTCCGCAACCTCACCCCGCAGCCCTGGTTCCCCGGTTCCGCGGACCACGGGGGGGGCCTATGGAGGATCAGGAAAAATCTTCCGCGGGTTCTATGGATGAGTCAGAATCTCTGATCTCTATGATTTCACTTACGTGATTTGGAAACTCAGTTCGTGGCTCCTCGGCTCTGCATTTCATAGCGAATATGGTGGCCACCATAGGTCCAAACCATTCCCGCTATTCACCACGGGCCTCAAATTTGTACTCGTCGTGGTTGTTGTTGTTGGATGCCAAAGCGATGCCTGAACAAACTTCGGCTCACCAAACACGAAACTGATGGTGAGAACGGCAGGGAAAATGCAATGGATTGAAATTCCCCGGCATAAACTCCAAAAAAGCAATGTTTTTTGCGCCGATAGCCAGCTATAAGGGCTCTTGCTTCCCTGATGAACGAAATTTTCGCCGCTCTCTGTTTTCGCTGCCCTTGCTACCTTATAGTTTTCTGCCTCTCTTTCATGTTCACTGCCTTCGTTGCCTCTTGCTGCCTTGTCTCGTAACCCTGTCTTCCTTCATGATCGCTGCCTTCGCTGCCTCGTCTCCCGGCCTGCTTTCTTAAGCCCCATCTCACTGCATGATCACTGCCTTTGCTGCCCTTGCCGGCACGTCTCCCAGCCCGGGCTTCGTTGCCCTTTGCTGTCTTCTCTCTCGCTGCCCTTGCTCACGATCCTTCTTGTTTTGTAAGACACCAGCTCGTGAGACAAACAGAGAAACATCACGAAAGACCCGCCAAAGAAAAAAAACAGCAACAAGTGAAAGAAGAAAGACTCGGGGCAACGGCAAAGAACAAGAGGTCCGGTTACACAGTTCTTTCTTATGTGCCCGCTTTTTTCAAAGGCGTCGGACGCCGAGTAATGGAAAAATGCCCTGCTTATGGGGGGAGGGTTGTTCAGAATCGGTCCCCCACCGATCTTAAAAATCCCCTCTTATAAGGGTGACATGCAATCTTGTTTGAGCTCAGCTATGGGCGGAGCAAGCCTCCACGCTCATAGCTGAGCTCAAACAAGAAAACCGGAGCAGTTGCACCTGCCCACGCAGCAGCTGCAACTGCCGGAACTCGGCGCCATGAAATGGGAGCTGGACCTGCCACCTGCGCCCGCGCAGGTGCAGGCGAAAAAAAGCCTCCGCGGCAGCCCATGCTCCAAGCCGCGTCTCAGCGCGAAAACTGACCCAAGAGGCTCGCTCGTGCAGCCAGGTTGAGCCATACAGCGTGCAAACTCTGACCTCAGAATAGCTATACTTTCAAAAACCCGTAATCCAAAAGAACCCCCCCCAAAAAAAAGTACCAATCTTATGGAAACATTATCACCACCAAACATTATGTATAGTAACTTCTTGGAATAAAAAAAAACTTACAACTGGATGCAGGGATGATGCATACATATCCCCTTGTAACAAAAAGAAAAGACCCAACCAAACAAAACCATACAAAAAAGCATCATCAAAAACGCCAAGGCACTGCATCGTGCAGCAGGTCAAAAAAAACTAGCCTGGCTAGGAAAAAAAAGGGCCCCTGGAGTCTACAATGCCCGAGGGCAACCTCAAACAGGGTTGGCGTCACAACCAGAAGAAAAACATTTCTGAAACTAACTTTAAAGCTATGTCCTGTAAACAACAACTTGAAAAAAAACTTCTCGGCCCCTTTAAAGTTGACCCTGGCCTGCAGCACCCAGAGGCCCCTCCGCTCCAGCATCTGCAGCAATGAAATGCTGCTCGACACGATAAGAGCGAAGGTGTTCATGCTGAACGCGAAGAAAAAAATGGCGCGAGGGCGAGGACGCGTTATCGATCAGCAACCTGACTTACTCTGAGCCTGGCTCTCCGTTTCCGGACTGCAGAGAGGGGTTAACTGACCGCCTGGTGACATGCCGTGAACCCGCTGGATGCGACCAAACCCCGGAAGCTGGAACAAACACAAAGAGTAACATTACAAAGCCGTTGGAATCCATTGTTTTCGGAGGAGCTGTAAAGCCAGCGAATTCAAAACGGGATCCGAACGTCAACTCATTGAAACACAAAAGACCCCTTTGACAAAATTTGCTTGTTTTTGGCCAATTTTTTGAAATTTTCCAAATTTTGGTCAAATTTTAAGGGGCAAATTTTGTCCAAAATTGCCAAAATTGAGGCCCAGTGCTGTGTCCTTGCATCTGAATGATCGCTGGCTTCGCTGCCTTTCCGCTCTCCCAAGTTCTTTCTGGTGCATGATCATGCTTGCTGCCCTGCTTCATTGCGGGGCTAAACCACCACTGCCGAAATGAGACAGGCTGGCTGGCAGCAATCTCAGAGGGTGGTAGCCTAACGACGTGTCCCTGCTGCTGTGCTTCTACGCATCGTCTCCCTGCATGATTGCTGCCCTCGCTGCCTCTCTTCCAGCGTGTCTCGCTGCAGTTGCTTTTGAGGACGCGTTATCGATCAGCAACCTGACTTACTCTGAGCCTGGCTCTCCGTTTCCGGACTGCAGAGAGGGGTTAACTGACCGCCTGTCTAACTCGGTGTTGCCCCCGGGTATCGAGCCCAGGACTGGTCGGAAGAGGAACGCCGCCATAACCACCGAGCTATTACCGACTGTTAACCAGCCTTGTCTCACTTCGGGGAGTGGCGCTTCAGTGTCCCTGCTGTTTGTGTTTCGACGCGCTATGTTCTTTGGCCAACTTGGGCACTTTTGAACAAATTTGGCAATTTTTGGCATTTTTGGAGATTTTCCGAAATTTGGTCAAATTTTAAAGGGTTTTGAGGCAAATTTGGCCCTTTGGCAAAATGTGAATTTTGTGGAAATTTGGCGGTTCTGGCCAATTTAGACACTTTAGGCCATTTTGGCAAATATATGGCAGTCTTTGGCCAACTTGGGCACTTTTGGACAATTTGGCAATTTTTGTTGTGAATTTTGGGCAAATTTGGCGGTTTTGGCCAATTTAGACACTTTTGGCAATTTTTTAGCAAACTTGGCAGTTTTTTGACTTAGGTTGGATGAGAGCTATAGATTCAAAGGGGGCTGTCAGCCGAGCTCTGCATCCTGAGCAAGATCAGGCAAGCTGGCTAGCAGAAGAGAACAAAAGAAAGGCGGCCGGCCGAGCAACGACTCTTGACTTGTGGTGAGGCATAGTGCGCAGTGCTTGCGTGTATGTTGAGTTGGGTGTCTTAAGAAGCAAAAACCAAGTTTTTTAACGTTGAGCAACACCGTAAAAGACAGGTCTTCAGTCCCCAGCAGAGTGGCTAAAGTCTCTCTCTGGCGCAGACCGAGACAACGAACTAAGGAATACTGCAGGCAGGACGGCAAAGTTCAGGAGACAAGGGGGCGGGCAAGAAAGAAACAGGTAACAGGACCTGTTGCCCTATGGGTGTGGCGTTGCCTTCTTTAGCCACTTCTGGCTGAGACGCAGATCCTGGAGGCTTGACTCCTCCCAGGTCCGCCTTTCTTTTGTTCTTTTGCTGCTTTGGCGTGGACCAAACACCAACAAGAAAAACAAAGAACGAAGCTGAGGACGTCGTGGAGGTCACTCCAAAGAAAGCTCAGCCGCCGAAACCCAAGAAGAAAGCCATGCCTGCTCGAGGCAGACCTGTGGAGAAAGCTGGCCGTCAGGAAGGTCTCAAGCCCTTGGACGTGAACCTGCCGTGAAGAAGATGCCCAGGAAGCCTGGTCGTTTTGTGATTCAGGTGAAGAAAGAGGCCTGGGAGGCCACTGGTTTGCTGAAAAGACGAAAGAAAGGCAGACCTGAGAACGCGACGCCACAGAAAGGCGACCAACACCTGGCAGCGGTCAAAGCAGGAAGGAGACAAAGAAGTAGTAGGACCTGCTGCCCCCTATAGGTGTGGCGTTGGCTTCTGAGACGCAGAACATGCTCCATGATCGCTCTCGCGCTCCTCAGTTCAAGGCTGCGACGCGAGGCACCTGCCCCATTGTGATCCTTGCGCCGTTTGCCCGGACTGAACTCGCAGGACAGGAAGGGCAGCTAGGAAACTAACACGAAACAATTCTGGGCAGGCCAGCAAAGGCGGCGATCACAAAGCGACACAAGACGGCAAGGGCATCAAAGGCAGCGATCATGCAAGCACAGAGGCAGCGAAGGCAGCGACGATCATGAAGGGAGACAAGCAAGCGCAAATTTTCTTTCCAGGATCCCCTACATTGCCTATAGCTGGCACTATCTGGGGAAAAACAATTTCAAATTATCTGTGCACTTCAGTCACTTCAGATGTTCATTGTTGGTGTGGCCCCCCACCTAAGCCATAGAAGTCCAGCAATCTCCCCTGCTTGTTGAGGGCACCAGCCATTCGTAGCCTCAAGTGGATCTGGCTCCAAATAAGGCTAAGCCAAGGGGAGGGGTAACCCCATCCCCCTGATAATGAAACAACCCTAGACACCTGGTTTAGTATTGGATCTGTTCGTTTTGTCACTCAGCTTCTCTGGCAATTTTCTTCACGGGGGCCCACACAGTCCACACATGTAGAGTATGAGGTCGTCTAGTAGGGACGCTACTTTTGAGCCATGGTCATTACATGTTTCAAATGACACTATGCTGCATGCAACAGATTGAGTTTGCCTGTCTCAATAACTGTGGCTCAACATATTGACCCCCCCATCTGGGTGACTTTAATCTAGTTCCCAAAAATTGAAGATGTAGATTCAATTGAAGGTTAGCGAAGTCATGGGGGCTTAGTATTGAAACCCATGGTGACCGATGGTCAAATCTCTATTTCCATACCTCCCACAGGCACCAGTCGTCGAGCAACCGCTTTGCCACACCTGCTTCGCTCTTATGCTCCATGGATGCCAACATCTTCCACAAACCTCAAGGGTTCAGTAGCTCCAGTGATTCAAGGTGCTGGTTCCATATGCTTTTTCGGGAGCTAAGCCAGGGGATAAGCCATTGCAACAACAACTTCCACAAAGATGGGCTTCATCTTTCAAAGGAGGTCAACCAATCTATAACAGCTCTATATAGCTCTATGCTGGACCTACAACAAATGTGGGGTTTCCGAAAATAGGGCCACCCTATGGCACCCTTGTTCACCATTGGTTTCTCATGGTTTCTCCATTATATAAAAGTGACCTGGATGATTTTAGGGTCCAAACATGTCGAAACCATTTGAGGCACCCCTCGAATAGTTCATAAAATGAAACATGTCGATGGTCATATGGAGGTTTCCTAAGTCATGCGCCCCAAATTTATCCAAGTCATTAGACCATGATTTAGTATCGAAACCAATGGTCACTGGGGGATCCTGGGCCCCCACTGAATCTCCCTTCAAATCCCTCCAAGTTACCGAACGGGCGCTTCACAGCAGCGTCCCAGCGACGTTCGATGTTGTGGTCCGAGCTAAGTCTGCCTCAAGATGGCGAGAAAATCTCGGGAGGTGACCTATGAAGCAACACAAGATTTTTCCCATCATGAATCATTCTGGGTGAGCACCAAAAAAAAATGTTGGGGGTAAAATGTTGGGGGTAAGAAACCCATGGTAAAGAACTGTAGAGATTTTCCCGCAGAAACCAATGAAGAAAAAGAAAGTCATGTACTCCTGGACCTGAACCTAGGATGGTGTGATTTCTCGGGAAACTTATGGTTTTTGAACCCCAAATGTTCAGAAACGACCTAAATCTATGGGGTTTGTTTGGCGGGGATCCACTCAGAGGATCCCAAACCAACCAGAAGCTTTCGAAAACACCCAAGTTGCAACAGCTTTTTGGACTTGTCCAAGATTCACAATAAATAAATAAATAAATAAATAAATGTATATATATATATATGTATGTGTGTGTATAAGTTATAAAAACCGGTTCCCCATAGTAGATTTTCCAGGAAAACTTACAAAATCACCATCTTAAGCAAACCAAAGACTTTTCAGCTAAGTGGTTGGCCAACCTTCCAAAAACTCGTGTAACCCCAACTGATTGATAACAATCAAATCAATAGAAACCAGCCACTTTCCATCACTTTCCCACCCAACCGGCCAAGTCGTCCCATCGAAATTCCGAGCCGCGCAATTTTTTCAGATTCCCGTCGACCACCTGCGGCTCCTTCTCCACTGCCTCCAGTTCAACTCGGTGCACGATGGCGTTAGCACCTGGCCGCAACAGCCGCGACAGCAAAGGACGGGGGATTCCTTCAGTGGTCCACAAGGCCCTCAGAAAAGTAGAGAAACAAACATCTGGATGCTGTGTGATGTTTTTCTAGATCATGCAGCCACGATTTATAGGAACTTCGCCATGTCTTTCTACCTCATTAGCTTCCAGGTGTTCGACGGTTGCTACATACGGATGCAGAGTCCAACTTGGAACAAAAACTGTTTATCATCCGCAAACTTCACCCCCATCACCCGCGAGTCTAATGAATTGAGGATACCGCAAGATTCTGGAAGTTTTCTATTCCTAGAATTCCTCCGATGTTCAGCAGTGGATGGCTTTCATGGTCACGCTCCTGTCGCTGTCAAGTTGCCCATTCCGAGGATTCCGCCCTCACCGGGATGGTTGAATTGCTGCCGCTCCGTTTTGCTGGTGGAGATGTTCATGAAGTCCTGCGACAAAGGATCCAGCTAGTGTGCCCCCAAATTGTGTTGTCAAAATCCACAATGAAACAGCCCTAGGGGTGAACAAAAATCCAGGGCTGACACTATTCCCTTCTCATTTAAGGGAAAACCTGATGGGGGGAACCCAGACCAACAAGATCAATGAAGGCAAAACTTGGCTGCGGTTCCAAGAGTGAATTCTTCTGTTTTTTGGGTTTCACTGAAGCTGGGCTGTAGGCCCTCAAGCAAAGTTTGGAAGTCACATAAAATAGTTGAGGCTTCACATATCCATTCACACCCACTCAAGATCCAATAACCAGGTTTTCTGGTAGGTAGATGTATCTATAGGTATTGTGGTTTATAAACTAGCTTATACTGGGGGGCACCACCTTGTATGACGTACCTTCACTTCCAGGGTTTTCTTCCAAGTCATCTGTCAGGGTGCTCTCTTGCTGCGCGGGTCGTCCGAGAAGCTAAAGATGATGGGCTCAATGGAGCGAAACGCCTCACCTGACGTCATACTGTGGTGCCATGGTGGGGGTGTGCACTGAGAATGGTGGAACATGTACTGGGAAAACAGAAATACTGGCTTTGTATAAACCGTAAGTTTCAAGATATTTTTTGTCTTTATGGGATGGTTTCGGATCTTATTGGGGAGCTCTACTTATTTGCAACAATGGGCCGTTCTTTTTAACATCTGCCAGTCAAGCTATAGCGGCTATAGATATATTTTTCAAAGCTCACCTGAAGTGAAATCCCAGGCCCTCAGGTTGGTGTCCAAAAAGTTCTCTGCCAGCAATGTTCCAGGTGCTCCGGGCCTCTCCTGATGACCTTGGCATGGAGAGATGGTTTTCAAACTTTGGCGAGCCGATGTTGGCACAATGGTCCCAAAAATTGGGGGAAGTGTTTTTACGGCAGGATCATGAGTTCCAAGCTGAATCCACCTTCTATTTGCGGGATTTTGTCGCACGTCTCCCAATCCGGCCCAATCTGGGTTAGGCATTTCGACGAGAAACTAACAAGACACATCGTCCAAATTTCCTGTATATTATCAAAACCGATCTTACAAAACAAGGTGGGCCGGAGAACCCAAAAGCAATACGGCGCACAGCACGTCTTTTTTGAAAAAATCTTGTGGTGTGGGCAGCTGTGCTCTGCACGAAATCGACATAAGATCTTTACTGAAACATCGTGCGCACTGATGGTATCAGGGGCCACAATTCACCACAGCATGCTGTGTCAGCTACGGCTACATTCTTCTAGTTGCTATTCTGCTAATGTTGTTAACATTTTTTAACTCTATCCCATCTTCCTATTCGCTGTTTATTCCTGGGTTCTTGTTTAGTTTGCTTCGCTGCAGCGGGAGCGAGGACGAAGCGTGGACGGACAGAACACCGTGCGACATGAAAACTAAACGAAGGAGGGAGTTGACCAAAAGAGCCTCAAAACGAAGATATGAAGATGACAGATGGTGAATGATCATGAAAAATGAGACATGATGAAAAGTGGGTAAAGACTTCTCCTTGGAAGCCCAAGGCGCTCTAAAAAAGTATCACCCAACGAAAGTCGATGGTCTTTAGTTTTTTTGCCCAAAAGTCGGTTTTCGCTGTTCTCGTGCACACCCTACAGATCCATTGCTGGGTGTTGCGCGCCATTCTTCCCCAGTTGCGCTGTGCTTTTGGGCCACTATAGTCGGCTCCCCGTTGATTTTTGTCAAAACTGAAAATTGAAAAAGATGTGAAAAAAGGTGAAAAAGCGCCGTATTTTTCCGTATGCGGCGCGTATCCGCGTTCACGCACCGCAAACAGTTGGACTTTTGGAATGTTGGCTGATGTTGGTAGACAGTTTTTAAATGTTCACCACCATGTGGGTTGATCACCAAAGCCATCGCTTTTGTTTCAGGCGACGATTTTTGGCCCCAAAAGCCGAAGGTCGATAGTTTTTGCAAAGGCGACAGAAATTAGATCAACTTTGGGGTTCCAGGTCTGTACAAAAGCTTCTAGGCGTAAAAGCTACTGTGTGTAAAGCGTCTGTGCGTACAAGTTTTTCGTGTAAAAGTTTCTCTGTGTAAATGTTTTTTTTTGTGAAAAACTTATGTGTGTAAAAGTTTCTGTGTGTAAAAGTTTCTTTGCGTAAAAAGCTTCTGTATGTAAAAGCTTCTGTGGGTAAAAACATCTCTGTGTAAAGGTTTTTTGTGTAAAAGCTTCTGTGTGTAAAAGCTCCTGTGTAAAACCCTCGCGGCAATTGTAACTAAACGAGAACCCAAGCATCGGAGATGCTTTTGGGAGAAAATCGAGAGACGGCCACTGATAGTTGCTCTCTCATTCTGGCTCCAGCTGCTGGCAGTGACGATCCGTAGAATCTGCAGTGATCTTTTTCCGCGCGGACGGCATCGGCTGTTCAGAATGGCTGTTCTAAAATTTCACTCCGGATTCAAAGGGAGTGAATGGAACTGGCACTATGCTGCGACTCACAGCGTTGCTTGAAGCAGGCTAGTGCTGTTTGAACTTCCGATGCTCAAAAGCCGCATACACCAAGAGCACTTGCAATGTAGCGGTAGTTTCCTGTGAATAAAATTGCATGAAACTGTCCTCCTTACTGTTTCCCTCGACGTATTCTCCAGATGCCTGTTGAACCAGCAGGGCATACAATGAGATTGCCTTGACAAGGCTGATTGGCTTCCATGGGTCCACCAAAGCCGCCCCGACATCAATTCCTTGTGCTTCCAATTCCTGGAAAAATCCACCGAAACCATGCTCGATCATGCGGTCAGCAACCGTCATTGCCTCGGCTTTCTTCGCCTCCATTGAGACCATATTCTCGATGCGGTAGATTGATTCTTTCGCATCCGAGGAGCAGCCGAGCAAGTGCTTTGCGCTGGCTTTCTGAATCTGGCTTCTGGCAGGGAAAAGGATTCGCTGCTTCTGTATCTGGTTCTTAATTGCTCTCTCAAGCGCGGTTTTTTGGTTTCCAGGCAAATAACCAAAAGACGAGCCGGGAGGCATGCGGACCATCCATGAGTCCCCTGGGGCGGAGTAATACAGCGTGAGTCCACTCCACCAAGCCACATGGAGGCTAAGACTGTTGGGGTCATCAAAGTCCTCATGTGAGTTAATGGTGTCAGCCAGCTTGTTGTGCGTGAAGTCCTTCAAGTCAGGAGCAGCCAGAGAAAACTCCACTAGCATCTCTGCCTTGCGGTCTCCGACTTGAGCCTTGAGAGCCTCTATGCGGGAGAGAAGCAGCTCAAGGTCAGGAAAAGGGACTTTCATGACTTCCGATCCGATGAGACGGGCTGTACAAATGCCCAACCAAATGATGGCGCGAAGGCAGGTCATGTTGCTGTTTCTGCCACTTGACAATCACTAAAATTGAAAGTAGACACGAACCGCACAGAGGCTGTCGCTTGAACCATGTGGGCACGAGTCATCGAATGCTTCAACTATGCTTCTTTCGCAAAGGAAAAAACAAAAAGGATCAAGACAAATGAGTGGAGGCACAAATACCAATAATACATCTGCACAATCTGCCAAAATAAATCTGCCAAACATCAGCAGAGCCAGAGCGATCTGATACAGGTGCCCTGATGCAAAATTTTCCATTACCATATCAAGTATCAAATCAAAGGAGGGTGACTGGCGATGGAAATTGGCAAATCACTGGTACAAGATATTAATAAAATTCACCATACAAGCATCATTGGTCCATAACAGGTATCTAACCTGATTGACGAACCATTGATTCCAACTTGGTCTATGCCTGGACCACCCACGATAGGTCCAGGACACGGAAGGTGAACGGCTCGTGTACTGAATCTTTCAGCCTTGGGCCCGCAAGACTATCAAGCAATCCGCCCCGCCCCAAAAAAAATCCAGGGTTGAGAAAGCTCAGCATCAAACATGTCCATCCATTTGTGGTCTCGAAGTATATTCTCCCAGACATTCCCAGATCAGGTCGCGCCATCTCCCAATTTGTTTTCAAGTGACACCGAAAAAATGCACACCTCGAATCTGCACCGGTCGTTCCACCGCAGGGCTGTGTTGGGTCCTGTGTCAGCCCAACATGCCCAACCAAGGTCTGTTGTGCTCCACCAGCAGTTTCATGTGGAGAGCATGTAACTGCAACAGAGATGGGATGATGTGGGCATATCAAAGAAAGCCAGGATGAAGTATTCCACATGTTCAATCAAACGACCTCCCAAAGACATCCAAAGACCCAAGCCGTATTCCTCCAAGGTTCACCCAAACACCCCCAAGACCCACGAAATCCCCTCAGGGGCCACGCCTGCTTCTGAGATGTCTGGGCACTTCACGATGTGCAAACCGAAGGTACTCTGAAGGCGAGCTATCTGTACCTTTACCTGCCAGACCGTAGGTGGTCATGGTATGTCATGGTGATCCCAATGATCCCCCCAAAAAAATCGGCCAATGATTTGAAGACTCTGACGCCGGAATGAAACTGCCAGAACTTCAAGTGTATGATATTGTCAGTATGATTGATCAACTGTACAATGAATACAATGGACATAATATCATCCCCATCTCTGCTGTGCTCTTCCCGTGAGGGACAAATATCTCCCGTCGAATGCTGGCCAATTTTTCGTGATCCCCCAGCCTCTACAGCTGCCTCTTCCAAGACCAGATCAAACTCCACCGGAAGGGCGAACATGGTGAACAGCAACCAGGACTTTCCAACTTCACATTGCCTCAGCTAAGACCCTTGCTGGAATCTGCAGCTAAGCTGGAAAATCTAGTGAAAGCGTTTCTGAAAACATCAGGGCGATTAGGAGATGATGAGGGATCTGTCAGGGCTTTGGCTCAGTCATTTGATTGTGGATGTATTTGCGAATCTTGTGAGTCCCGACCAACACCGCGCATCAAAGTCTGAGGGTTTCCGGGAAAGAACGGCCAATTAAGGTGGTTTCTTAAACTGGGATCCCCAAGGAGCCATGGTTGTTTAAATACTGAGTCATGGTCTAATTTGGGTGATTTTGGGGTACCCCCAATTTTAGGAAACCCTTAATTAATGTGATGATCGTTTTGTTGTCAAAAATTATCACTGACGATTGTTTTTTGAAGATCATGCCATGTGACCAGGGGTTTGCCCACCGGGACTGTTTACGTGACAGAGCCGCCTTTCGTAGCGAAGGTATGCATTGACCCGTTCCAGCAAGACCTTTCGCACAGTGTCGATGGTGGCTTCAACCTAAGGCTTTGAGCATGTTCTCTCTCCTGTTGAGGTGAAAGATCTCCGCTTCCCAGTGGTGTGGTTGTGGCAATCTAAAATTCGACCAAACCTTTCAGTGTCAAACCATGTCAAATCAGCCAAGCTCTATGAACTCTTCACCCTGCAGTGATCCCACTTTGGCCAGCCTTTCAAATGGCCCAACCCCCCAAACTGCCGCAAGATGCTGGTTTCGCCAGGAGGCCGGGATCACAGCAGCCATGGTGCATACCCCCGAAACCAACAACTCCACCTCCACATGGTCGCTGTCGATGCATTCCACCTTCAACCTACGCCGCTTCACCTCGGGTGGCAAGTCGCCCAGGGGCATCGAGGGGTGCGTGCCCTGCCTCCTGCGGCTGGAGCGGGAAAAACACCCGGCAAGGTGGAAGCAAAACACCAAAAAATGCACTTCAACAGGCAGGTTTCAAAATTTTAGAGCTGCCAAAATGATCAGTTTGGGGCAAAGTTCCAGAAGATCAGTTCCCGGAAAATGGGATGACTTGAACGACTGGTCTTTTTTGTCCCACGCATTTTTTGTGGCTCATCCTCCCTCCAAGTCCCCCATAACCAGGCCTGTAGCTCTCCTCCAGCGCTTCCAGTTCCACCAGTTGACGTTGAAATCCCACGTTTTCCAAAATCCACGGCCGAACCTTCGCCTCGGTGATGACCCTGGCTCTGATGCCGGGATGACGATGATTTTTTTGGGTGGGATCTTACATGTGCGGATTCCTCAAAAAATGCGAGGTTCAAGAAAACTGGTAGGATGGATTGTTTTTGTAACCTCAGAAATCAATGTTTGTCTCATCCTTTCGGTCGAGAATCCAGCGCGTTCCCTCATCCACCCCAGCAGATATTGTAGGTTTTCAACTTTGAGCCAACTAAAAAACACAACACATGACATATCATAACATATCTATTTTTCATAGGTCGACCCATCCAAAACCAAATCCGCCCCAGGACCCCTCTCGGGTGTCCAAGAAACCGCAAGTGTCAGCACCTCCTGCAGGGCTTTTCCCTGCAGAATCTGCACCGCGATGGCCAGGGTGGCCGAGCGATTTTGCCCGGCCACGCAGAAGAAGAAGACCTTTCCGCCTCGCATCTGGGGTCGGAACATCGCAGCTGGATTGGTTCAAGGGAACATCTTAACCAATCTTAACCAGAAACCATGGTTTTCTCAGGTTTTCTCCATCAAATATCTTGGGAAAACCAATCCACCCCTCCATCTTTTTTTTTGTGGTCAATCATCATGTCCCAAAAAAATAAGTTGCCATAAATTACTAGCATTTAGTAAGTCTTTAAGTCTTAAATAGCTCACCCTTTTTTGGGCGAAAGAAACCCAGATGGACATGATCAATGATCAAAACTGGGAGATGGGGATGTTTTAACACCGGGAATGACCCAAATCAGTGGTTTGTCTAGGCTTCAAATATGATCCAGAAGCAAATGGGCAGTTTGCCAACAATTCTATGAAGCTGAAAATCTTGAATTTGAGGATGTGACCAATCAAGAGTAGGAAGAAATGGAAGAAAGAGAGCTTGGATCAGTATTAGAACTATTGGAACATGTTTGCAATGGATTGCAATGGCACCTTGAAGAGAAGTCAATTGATGTCAATTGGCGTCCTATGATGTGGCCGTGATTGCCATGTTGGGGGTCAAACAAGTGTACATGTTCAAGTCTGGAACTGTGAAGTTTGAAGTATCACCAACCACCAATCACTTATCACTAATCCCTTCCCCTATAGTAGAGGATTTACACATAGAGACCCAGCCATAGGGGGATAGGATTAGATCCACCCAAGTCACGGTTTCTCCCTTCAGCATCCACCTGTTTGGCGGATGCGATCGTAGAAAGTCTTGGCGGTCTCCAGATGTTCTGAGCGAACGCCACTCCGATCGTGCAGAATGGGGTAGCCGTAGTTGTCCTTCCAAAGGATGTCGAAGGATGTCCAAGGGATTCGGAGTTTTGATCACAGCGTCGCTCGTTTCAACCCGTTTCAACCCGTTTCAATCCGTTTCAACCCGTTTCAAGCCGTTTCAACCCTTCAAACATGTTGCAAGCGAGCATACCAGAGCCAGACAAGTGCGGTGCAGCTGGAAAGCCCAGCAGCAGCCCCGGATCCTGGCTGACATTCGTGAAGCCATAGGTGATACCTTCAGGGCCAATGGAGGAATATCATGGAAGGTCTGTCTCTTTCCTGCCGAACAACGGCAAAAATGTCATCAGAGTGGGCCAAAACACCTCCGATTTTAAAGAGCACACCATGTTTTAAAGGGCCATTCCTGTGACAAAAACGGTGCTCCAATTTTGCTGCTCTATGCTACTCATATTTCGGTGTTCCAAAGCGAATTTAACTGGGATGGCCACTCCCAAACCTTTGAAACGATGGTTCGCTTCGATCACCTTGAAAAAAGTCATGTTGGCGTCAAAAAAAACTTAGTGTTTAAGCATGATGAAACCATGATTCAACCGTGGGTTTTTAACAGTTCAACCCATGGCCCATGACACCATCAATACCATCAACAGACCACCGAAATCACATCGCAGCCACTGCACCATTTTCTGTGTACACGTCCAGGTTCAACGAACTGATGCCAGTGGGAGCGCAGTTTAAGGCGCCTGTCACCTCGGTCTCTCGGTCTCTCGGTCTGCCGAGTTCAACGGGATAAGAAGGGGCGGCCTACACCTGATTTGACCATCAACAATTGGGGGTTAATATGGTTAACTATGGTTAACTATGGTTAATTGATGTTAATTGATGTTAATTGATTTTCTATCACCAACCATTTGAGGATTGAACCACTGCAGAATGAATATCTGCAAGGATTTCAGCAAAAACTCGTTCTATATGGGGATATCATGGGATATCGAACCATTTGCTTTGAGCCAAAACATGCCTGGGATGTACCATGATGTACCATGATGTACCGGTTTTCCCCAAGAAAAAAATCGGGAGATAAACCACTGGTGGATAAACAATATCGTACAACTTGGACTGGTTCCTGAGATCTTGGCACCTGCATCCCTGCTAGCAAGCTGCAAGTGGTAAACACTTTGGTGAGTTCAGGGGAAACTTAGGCACCCACATCCCCACATGCTGAGCCAGGCAACTCCTAAGCTCACCAAAGTTTCGACGTCCTTGGCATGCTTCTTGTTGCCCACAAATAGGCCTTCACCCACCTCTCAGCTTGGCAGGTTTCATCATTTCTCAAAATGCCAAAAAGTTGAGGAATGTGGGGGTGGGGGTTATGGAGACTCCAAAGAATCTGGAGTCTTTTTTCGATGTTTTTTTCCACCCGGGACACCAAGTTTTTCTCCCTCCCCACCTGTGAAGGGCAGGTGTCGCAGGCATCTGCGGGGATGGGTTGGGCCACCAATTGGCGGAGCATCTGCAACTTCCTTTCCATGTAGGCCTTGAGATCTTGGAAGGGCTCGAAAGTTAACACCATCTACAGTTAGGATAAATCTATAGTTGAACTAGTTACTAGTTGGGTTTAAAAAACCTTGGCAATGGAAAACCAGCCTCTGAGAATAATTGATCTTCCCCTCCAAAAAATCGGTTCAAACATGATTCCCATTTGCAATGTGCGTTTGCAATTTTCTGGATACATGTAAAATGCATATTGGTCATCGGTGGTATTCAAGCATGGGATAGGCTGTTCATTTTGAGGCCTGCCGCCCAAAAACTTTTTAAACCAACCAAAATCAGAAAATGCGAACTGGAAGGAGGCACTCAGATTCAGTTCAGAAACAACTAGGCATTTTCCAGCTGAAGGATTGACTATTCTGACTGTTCAACTATTTATACCTCTTGTTCATCAGCCAGTTACAAACTCTGAGCACCATCCAGTTCCAGATTTTTTATCAAATAGCAACCATCTGCAGCAAAATCAAACATCCCAAGGGCAAGTTGGCATCCCCCAGTGCCTGGCTGATCTGTAGCTCCTCATTGCCACAGCCATTGGGCGGGTCTGCCGGCTCCGCCATAGACGCCCAAGGTAAGAGTCGGTCCCAGGCATTTATGTGGGCTGGGGATGGTATTTGATGGTATCCACCTGTTTTCAGACATACCCCAGTGTTTTTTGCTCAGAAATGCTGGAGATGGGCCTCAACGGCCGAGAACAACTGCACGTTGAGCATCGTCTGTTGTGGGGGACTGCGAAAGCATCATGCAGTTCGGTTCAGGATGGCACCCACTTGCAGGATGTTAGTGGAACCTTCATGACCTCTTGTCCATCCTTTATTCGCATTTCTTGGTTTTCTTGATGTGCGCAAGAAAGTGTTTTGACCAAAGTGACACTTCCTTGAACTGTTGTATCTACCTTGACTGTCGCCACAGCTGCTTTTTCTAAGTTTGAACTTCAGCGGCTACATCTTCTTCCACTCAGAGCATACCCATGTCTAGCAGACGGGTCTCACCGAAAAGACTTGCTGGACTTGTTGCATAACATCAAATGAACACAGCATACAATCCAACCAGGTCTACTTGGAAAAACAACATGTCTTGGCGAAATCTCAGTGTTTGGAAATCATTGAGAATGAAGGAAGCAATAAATAAACAAATTGATAAATCATTTCTAAATACACACATAAATACGCAATAGTGATTAATAGTAACAATTGTTATTGTTATATAATCATATTCATTATCAAAATAACATTGCAGTAATGCCACTAATGATAATAACAACTGTTACTGTAGTCATAATGAAAATAACAACTGTTAGTCATAATGAATAATAATCATCATAATATTGGTACGTATATCTAAATACTCAATAATGTGGGTAAAACATTATGATGATTATTTAGATTTGTTAAATATTGGAGACATCTCGCTAATAATCATAACAATTGGTGACAATAATTGTGATCATCATCATAATTGTAAATAATTGGTGACAATTGTAATAACCATAACAATTAATTGTAAATAATAATAACAATTGTCACCAATAATAATTGTAAAATAACTGGTGGACATATTACTCATACTTATTATTCATAATAATTCTTACAATAATTCTCTATGTTTATTATTCATAGTCATAAATCCAACAATATTCATCATATACACTCATGTTTATTATTCATAATCTGGTTGGTGGTTTCAACTCCTCTGAAAAATGATGGAGTTCGTCAGTTTGGATGATGACATTCCCAATATATGGACAGTCATTAAAGCCATGTTCCAAACCACCCACCAGTAATAATAAATCCAACAATATTCATACTATACAATAATGCTTATTATTCATAATATACCATAATTTACAATTTGTCACCAATAATTACAACAATTGTCATCAACAATTATCAAATAATTATGTCAATAGCCATTTATAGATGGTTTACCTATTAAAATTACCAGATGGTAATCTTCAAAATTTATTAGATTACCATTAAAAATGTCAGATTACCATTAAAAATGCTGGAACTTTCCAGTTCGCTACTGTAACAAATCACCAGATGGTACCCTCTGGTAAACATACAAAATAGCCATTGAACATGGCCATTTATAGATAGTGGATTTTCCCATGAAAAATGGTGATTTTCCATAGTTATGGGACAGTTTACCAGATGGTATATCCTATTAAATCCCATTAAACCCCATTATATAAATCCTATTAAATCCCATTAAACCACCATTTGGTCACTACTGTAACAAATCACCAGATGGTACCCTCTGGTAATTTAACATAGCTATTGAAAATGGCCATTGAAATAGTGGATTTTCCCATGAAAAATGGTGGTTTTCCATAGGTTTTTTGTAGGTTTACCAGAGGATAATCTTCCAACAACCCATCGAACCCTCCGCGCCTGTCGAGTGCCTGGATCCCGATGTTCCAGACGCGCCTCCGCCAGCTGGATCGCCTTTTTTGGGGATTTTTGGTGAAGCCATTGGATCCATGGGACATCGGGAAACACCCAGGGGAACACCGGAGTTTCCTGGAAGAAAGTCCCTCAGGGCACGGGAATGCCTTGGAAAACCATGGGAAAACCAGGGAAAAACCATGAATTTCTGGCTGTTTTTTTAAAACTTTGATAAAGAGATTGAGATTTTTGAGTGTTTTTGCTAATTATGAATCATGATGAATCATGATGAAGAATGGTATGTTTGCATTTGTTGTATCTACAAAAAAAAAATATGCATGTTTGACATAATGCATAGGAATGGAGTGTTTGATGTTGTTTGATCCTCTCCAAAATACTCTGAAGAACACAACCAATAAAGCGATGCCAGAGTCTGGTTGTAGGGAATCAAAGTCATCAAACTGAGACCATCCGGACTCATGAAATGACGCTCATTGCGGATGTGAGACAGTTTTTTTTTGCGGCATCATCGACCAGTCGGAGCAGGCAACATCAAGCTGAACACTGTACATTCAAATCTGTGGCACTGCTCGTGGCCAAACGGCTTAACTGTCGCTTTAACTGTGTAAATCTGTCCGCAGCCGGCAGGCTGCCTGGCTGGAGGAGGTTTCTCTCAGCAGGAGTGCCCCCTCCATGAGATATTCTCAACTCTCAACCCATCTCAACCCACATCAAGCCATATCATATCTGCATCTTTTGCATCTTTTGCATCTTTTCAGGCTTTTCCGGCTCCGTCATGCCATGCCCTCATTGTCGCCAGTCCTTCCTCTTCCGCATGTCGACCTGCTTACCCATCCTCTCGGTCTTCTGTAATTTCCTCCAATGCCGTCGAAGGTAACGATCGTGGCATGGATCTGCTACGTGGAGAGGCACCTAGCCGCGAGTTCTACAAGTCTTGGGATATTTTGGACTTGTGATGTTCACCATATCCCCATCCATCCCCAATATTGCCAAAATAAACATGGGATGTTGGTACATATGCAGCTACAAAATCATGGTGCACCACATCATTGACATCATTGCGTTCAAACATACCCACCTAAAAATCGGATTTCATCCTCAAGTTGGCATTTTAACCCATTCCGAATGTGCTACAAGTAATGTGGTGAACCGAATAAACCTCCCGGGGACGTCGGCCCCTGCTTTTTCCATCGATTTCTGCTGAGGCATTCATCAGATCATTGGGGATGGTGGCATTGGCATTGGATGAATCCCACATTATTGGCATTGGCATTGACTATTATTGGCCTATTAGTATCACTGGGATTCATCCAATGCCAATTATTGTCTATTACTGTCTTGTCACCAAACAAGGGCTCTCCGGTTTTCTCGCACAAAAAATGCCTACAGTTGTGGCATGGATGTCTCTTGCCTTACAGACTCCCCCTTCACCGTCATGGTGAACCCTGGAGGAAAAAGAAGATTCTAGGCTCAAGGCATTTAGTGTTCCTTCGACTTCTGCTCTTTGTACATTCTGGACAGAGCCGTCGAATTGAGCCCTCGTTGCCGATTGGCATGTTGAAAAACATTCCATGGATTCCTGATTTCAGGTTCCTGAGTTCCTATGCTAACCTCGCCTACGCTACCACTATCGAGAGCCCCATCAATGCTCTCCGAGGTTGCTGCGACATCAGCTACCGTTGCAGTTTTTCCCGCAACGCTTCCCAGGTCTTTGCCCGAATTTGATCCCCGCTTCACACACGCAGAGTTTCCATCAGCGCTGCTAGAGCCCGACTGTCTTGTCATTCTTTTTGAGGTAGGCACCACGCCAGTGCTCGATGCGCCTGCGGTGCCCGATCGTGATGGCATACTTTGACTTGAAGATGCCCCCACGCCAACGCTCGATGCGCCAGCTGTGCCCGATCGTGATGGCATTCTTTGGCATGAAGATTCTCCCACGCCAATGCTTGATGCGCCAGCGGTGCCCGACCGTGATGGCATACTTTGACATGAAGATGCCCCTGAGCCCGATGGTGTTCTACTCCTCATTGATGAAGTTCTCATCGGACCACTTCCCGCAGCATCTCCGCACTTCTGATTATAACGACCATCACATTGAAATTCATGTTGTTCTTGTAGTGGATTCATCTCTGGTGCCCTCTTGAATCTTTTCAAGCAACACTTCGAAGCTTCCACCACCAATTGCCCAGCATAAACGGCACCCAACGCCATCAAGACGGTCCCCACAATGAAGACCCAATCCACATTCTCGATTTCAGCCTCTTCCATCTCGGACCCCTTGGCCTGAGATAACAACAGACTTCCAGCAACCAATGCTTTGATCGCCGCTGATCCTTGTCCACCTCCTCCATTCTTTTGTGACCCCACGTTGAGATCTTCTTGTTCTTTTCGATTCATCCCCAAGTCTTGGACGAACCTGGCAAAGGACTGCCCCTGTAACGGCTTTGTGAGACCGTCTGCCACCAGCTCAGTGCCTCGTAGGTGAAGCAACCGCCAAAGCCCTCCAGGTGCTGTTCCATCCAAGGCCTCCTTGAGGTATGAGGATCGAACACGAAGATGGCGTGTTCTCCAGCTCGAAGTGCCAGTGCCATGCGCCATTGAGATCGCAGCTGCATTGTCGCCATAGATCACTCTTTCAATGGCGTTTGTTCCCACCTGCTCCTTGATCATTGCGCAAATCATCGCTTCCATGGATCTTCCCACATTCAGCGCTTCACAGTAGCCAACCAACTCTGACTCTGCCGTGCTGTGGGTCACGAAGGCCTGTTGCGATGATTGCCATCCAATTGGCACCCCTGCAAAGCACACAAGAAGTCCCTGCAAGCTCCTGTGTTTCGAGCCTGCTCCAAACGAGATGTCAGAGAAGACCTCCAGCAGCTTTCCACTTCTCTCGATCTTCGGCTGATTCCTCTTGCCCCATGTTTCGGCTGGAACTCCTCGAGGATAGTGAAGTCCTCCTTGATTTCCATGGACATACTGCATGATGGCGTTTGACACCTCGATGCTCGATGGACTTGAGAGCATTCTTTGTGCACAACCTGCACGCTGTTGCCACTGCCATTGCAATGTCAGGTCTTGTTCTGGTTGATAACCAAAGTAATGCCCCAGCCATCGATTGCGCCTTCTTCACATCGCTCGGCAAAACTTCCCCAACAGGCATGTCATCGCCT